GTTCCAAGATAAACAGCGAAATAGACAATTTTTGACAGCGAAATTGCAGACTTGATTTTACGACTCAAACCACTGGACGTGAACGATTCACCGCGTTCCAAGGTAACTTTGGCTCCCAATGGTTGAACGAATTTGGCTCCCAAAATTGAAATGGCTCCGGAAAATGAAATACAAAAAAATTGGACAGCGAAATTGACGACATCGAAATAGACAATTTTTGACAGCGAAATTGCAGACTTGATTTTACGACTCGAACCAACGGACGTGAAAGTTTCAACGCGTTCCAAGATAAACAGCGAAATAGACAATTTTGACTGCGAAATTGCAGACTTGATCTTACGACTCGAATCAATGGACGTGAAAGATTCATTGCGTTCCAAGGTAAATTTGGCTCCCAATGGTTGAACGTCATCCCCTGCAAAAATTTAAGGTTAAAACTGTCGAACCAACAACTCAGAATTGCGAGAGGACTTCCAAATTTCAACGCGTTCCAAGATAAACAGCGAAATAGACAATTTTTGACAGCGAAATTGCAGACTTGATTTTACGACTCGAACCACTGGACGTGAACAAATTGACGACATCGAAATAGACGTGAACGATTCACCGCGTTCCAAGGTAACTTTGGCTCCCAATGGTTGAACGAATTTGGCTCCCAAAATTGAAATGGCTCCGGAAAATGAAATACAAAAAAATTGGACAGCGAAATTGACGACATCGAAATAGACAATTTTTGACAGCGAAATTGCAGACTTGATTTTACGACTCGAACCAACGGACGTGAAAGTTTCAACGCGTTCCAAGATAAACAGCGAAATAGACAATTTTGACTGCGAAATTGCAGACTTGATCTTACGACTCGAATCAATGGACGTGAAAGATTCATTGCGTTCCAAGGTAAATTTGGCTCCCAATGGTTGAACGTCATCCCCTGCAAAAATTTAAGGTTAAAACTGTCGAACCAACAACTCAGAATTGCGAGAGGACTTCCAAATTTCAACGCGTTCCAAGATAAACAGCGAAATAGACAATTTTTGACAGCGAAATTGCAGACTTGATTTTACGACTCGAACCAACGGACGTGAAAGTTTCAACGCGTTCCAAGATAAACAGCGAAATAGACAATTTTGACTGCGAAATTGCAGACTTGATTTTACGACTCGAACCACTGGACGTGAACAATTCACCGCGTTCCAAGGTAAATCAGGCTCCCAATGGTTGAACGAATTTGGCTCCCAAAATTGAAATGGCTCTGGAAAATGATTTCCAAAAAAATTGGACAGCTAAATTGACGACACCGGAATAAACAATTTTTGACAGCGAACAGCGAAATCGCAGAGTTGATTTTACGACTCGAACCAACGGACGTGAAAATTTCAACGCGTTCCAAGATAAACAGCGAAATAGACAATTTTTGACAGCGAAATTGCAGACTTGATTTTACGACTCGAACCACTGGACGTGAACGATTCACCGCGTTCCAAGGTAACTTTGGCTCCCAATGGTTGAACGAATTTGGCTCCCAAAATTGAAATGGCTCCGGAAAATGAAATACAAAAAAATTGGACAGCGAAATTGACGACATCGAAATAGACAATTTTTGACAGCGAAATTGCAGACTTGATTTTACGACTCGAACCAACGGACGTGAAAGTTTCAACGCGTTCCAAGATAAACAGCGAAATAGACAATTTTGACTGCGAAATTGCAGACTTGATCTTACGACTCGAATCAATGGACGTGAAAGATTCATTGCGTTCCAAGGTAAATTTGGCTCCCAATGGTTGAACGTCATCCCCTGCAAAAATTTAAGGTTAAAACTGTCGAACCAACAACTCAGAATTGCGAGAGGACTTCCAAATTTCAACGCGTTCCAAGATAAACAGCGAAATAGACAATTTTTGACAGCGAAATTGCAGACTTGATTTTACGACTCGAACCACTGGACGTGAACGATTCACCGCGTTCCAAGGTAACTTTGGCTCCCAATGGTTGAACGAATTTGGCTCCCAAAATTGAAATGGCTCCGGAAAATGAAATACAAAAAAATTGGACAGCGAAATTGACGACATCGAAATAGACAATTTTTGACAGCGAAATTGCAGACTTGATTTTACGACTCGAACCAACGGACGTGAAAGTTTCAACGCGTTCCAAGATAAACAGCGAAATAGACAATTTTGACTGCGAAATTGCAGACTTGATCTTACGACTCGAATCAATGGACGTGAAAGATTCATTGCGTTCCAAGGTAAATTTGGCTCCCAATGGTTGAACGTCATCCCGTGCAAAAATTTAAGGTTAAAACTGTCGAACCAACAACTCAGAATTGCGAGAGGACTTCCAAATTTCAACGCGTTCCAAGATAAACAGCGAAATAGACAATTTTTGACAGCGAAATTGCAGACTTGATTTTACGACTCGAACCACTGGACGTGAACAATTCACCGCGTTCCAAGGTAAATCAGGCTCCCAATGGTTGAACGAATTTGGCTCCCAAAATTGAAATGGCTCTGGAAAATGATTTCCAAAAAAATTGGACAGCTAAATTGACGACACCGGAATAAACAATTTTTGACAGCGAAATCGCAGAGTTGATTTTACGACTCGAACCAACGGACGTGAAAATTTCAACGCGTTCCAAGATAAACAGCGAAATAGACAATTTTTGACAGCGAAATTGCAGACTTGATTTTACGACTCGAACCACTGGACGTGAACGATTCACCGCGTTCCAAGGTAACTTTGGCTCCCAATGGTTGAACGAATTTGGCTCCCAAAATTGAAATGGCTCCGGAAAATGAAATACAAAAAAATTGGACAGCGAAATTGACGACATCGAAATAGACAATTTTTGACAGCGAAATTGCAGACTTGATTTTACGACTCGAACCAACGGACGTGAAAGTTTCAACGCGTTCCAAGATAAACAGCGAAATAGACAATTTTGACTGCGAAATTGCAGACTTGATCTTACGACTCGAATCAATGGACGTGAAAGATTCATTGCGTTCCAAGGTAAATTTGGCTCCCAATGGTTGAACGTCATCCCGTGCAAAAATTTAAGGTTAAAACTGTCGAACCAACAACTCAGAATTGCGAGAGGACTTCCAAATTTCAACGCGTTCCAAGATAAACAGCGAAATAGACAATTTTTGACAGCGAAATTGCAGACTTGATTTTACGACTCGAACCACTGGACGTGAACAATTCACCGCGTTCCAAGGTAAATCAGGCTCCCAATGGTTGAATGAATTTGGCTCCCAAAATTGAAATGGCTCTGGAAAATGATTTCCAAAAAAATTGGACAGCTAAATTGACGACACCGGAATAAACAATTTTTGACAGCGAAATCGCAGAGTTGATTTTACGACTCGAACCAACGGACGTGAAAATTTCAACGCGTTCCAAGATAAACAGCGAAATAGACAATTTTTGACAGCGAAATTGCAGACTTGATTTTACGACTCAAACCACTGGACGTGAACAATTCACCGCGTTCCAAGGTAACTTTGGCTCCCAATGGTTGAACGAATTTGGCTCCCATAATTGAAATGGCTCCGGAAAATGAAATACAAAAAAATTGGACAGCGAAATTGACGACATCGAAATAGACAATTTTTGACAGCGAAATTGCAGACTTGATTTTACGACTCGAACCAACGGACGTGAAAGTTTCAACGCGTTCCAAGATAAACAGCGAAATAGACAATTTTGACTGCGAAATTGCAGACTTGATCTTACGACTCGAATCAATGGACGTGAAAGATTCATTGCGTTCCAAGGTAAATTTGGCTCCCAATGGTTGAACGTCATCCCGTGCAAAAATTTAAGGTTAAAACTGTCGAACCAACAACTCAGAATTGCGAGAGGACTTCCAAATTTCAACGCGTTCCAAGATAAACAGCGAAATAGACAATTTTTGACAGCGAAATTGCAGACTTGATTTTACGACTCGAACCACTGGACGTGAACAATTCACCGCGTTCCAAGGTAAATCAGGCTCCCAATGGTTGAACGAATTTGGCTCCCAAAATTGAAATGGCTCTGGAAAATGATTTCCAAAAAAATTGGACAGCTAAATTGACGACACCGGAATAAACAATTTTTGACAGCGAAATCGCAGAGTTGATTTTACGACTCGAACCAACGGACGTGAAAATTTCAACGCGTTCCAAGATAAACAGCGAAATAGACAATTTTTGACAGCGAAATTGCAGACTTGATTTTACGACTCGAACCACTGGACGTGAACGATTCACCGCGTTCCAAGGTAACTTTGGCTCCCAATGGTTGAACGAATTTGGCTCCCAAAATTGAAATGGCTCCGGAAAATGAAATACAAAAAAATTGGACAGCGAAATTGACGACATCGAAATAGACAATTTTTGACAGCGAAATTGCAGACTTGATTTTACGACTCGAACCAACGGACGTGAAAGTTTCAACGCGTTCCAAGATAAACAGCGAAATAGACAATTTTGACTGCGAAATTGCAGATTTGATCTTACGACTCGAATCAATGGACGTGAAAGATTCATTGCGTTCCAAGGTAAATTTGGCTCCCAATGGTTGAACGTCATCCCGTGCAAAAATTTAAGGTTAAAACTGTCGAACCAACAACTCAGAATTGCGAGAGGACTTCGTTTAGGCTCAAAAATATGCAAACGGCATAAATGCGTGTGCGGAAAAGACGTTACCGAGGATTGTTGGCATGGTCTTTCTTGCCTCAAAAGTGCAGGAAGATTCTCTAGGCATATAAACCTGAATGCCCTTATAAAGCAGAGTTTATCTTCCACTCACATTTTGTCTGTTTTAGAACCACGACACCTCTACAGTACCAATCAGAAGCGACCAGACGCCTGACGCTCGTTCCATGGGCTCTTGGTAAGCAGCTCTTGTGGGATGTAACGGAAGTAGACTCCTTAGCTCCTTGTAGGATTAATGCCGGGTCTGTTTGTAACCCTGGTACGGCTGCCGCTGAAGCGGAAGGGCCTAATTGTTGTGATAAACTTATTAAATAGTTATTTTCAGTTAAAAATGAATAACAGGGCAGCCGTGGTGGCCCTCTATTTCTAACTACTGATTATCACTACACCAAATTCAACAAACCTGGTCTCTGGGAAAACAGCTTCTTCCTTCTTTTCTCCATCTCCAGTACCAGCTGAGTTCTTTCCTTATCTATTTCCTTATTTTTATCACTATGTTAGAAATCATAGCCGCAAGTACCCTTTCTCACTCAATCGAACAAGGTCTAACTCCTGAACAAAAAAATATAGTAAAGCAAATTGTCTACGCCGAGGGGGGATTTAACCTGAACCCAAGGACGAACTTTAAATTTAAAAACGTTACCGATTATATACGAGCAACGAGCAAATCTATTATACTGTGGCACGATCTTATCAACAATTCGATCACTGAGTTTAAAATGATCAAACCCCTCACGACTCAGCAACTCCTGGATACTCTCAGAAGCTTTAACAATCTGTTTGCTATTGTCTACTGTCAGCGTACGGGAGCAGAAAATATATTCGACGAGCTACGAACTCTTGACACGATTGTCATCGACGTTACAAAATATCTTATCAGTAAATCAGAGAGTATAGACGAAAACATCACAGGACTTTATCGCGAGCTTCACCAGTCATCTGATCTAGAACTACGATCTCTCTCGGTAGTCTTGCACTACTATCCGAACCTTCACGCGATCTTCAAAACCCGCTCCACGAAAATCAAACCATCGAAGAATCGACGAAGAGCCAAGAAGAGGCAACGCTCAGCAACTCCACAATAAAACGGTTAGTAAAACTCGTACTGGTTGTACTCTTTGAGTCCTTTGACTCGGAGTCCCTTTCTAGTTTTACTACATTAGTATATAACTGAGTGTACTCTTTGAGAATTTTGACTCGGAGTCCTCACCAAACAAATATGACACGAAATCGTGAAATGACCACTGATTCCGTATGCAAAACTTGCCAACAAAAAATCAAAAAGAATGAAGATACATTCTGTTGCATCGTGTGTAATTGCAAAATGCACCTGACGAAAAGCTGTACCAGCCTAAGCGATACAGCAATCAATGGTATTACGACATTGGGAAAAAACATTGCTCTACTCTGCAACAAATGTGTGGATTCCAACGGAAATGAGAGAATCCGAAAAGCAGTCAGTGACGCTGAACAAACCTCGCCGAAGCAATTCAAGAAGATTGAAGAGGACATGGACGAACTCAGAAAGAACGTACAGGAGATTAAAACACTGTTCTCCCAAACCACAATGAAGCCAAATGAGATCAAATCAGAAGCAAAAACCAAGGTACCGATAAACGCAACGCCGAAACAAGAAAATCAAAACGGAATCCGCATCCGCGGCATCCCTGAACTAAACGACAAAGATCAAAGAAAAAGACAAGAAAATGACCTCCAACAAGTAAAGGAAATCTTGGAGCACATGCAAATTGTGCCAGAGATAGTTGATCTGCTCCGGATGGGTCAACGACAGGAAGGCAAGGACCGAACCATACTGGTAAAAGTCCCAATTTGGCAGAAACGACTAATACTATCATCCGCTTGCCGCCTAAAAACATATGACAAACCTGTGTTTGTCAGCCGCGAGCTATCAGTGGATGAAGCAAAACTTGAAAATCAAGCACTGCAAAAACGGCGGGAGCTCATAAACGAAAACATCGATAAACAAAACCTGCGCATCCGCGATGGAAAGCTCTACCAGAAAATAGAAAACAGATGGACAGCAGTTGCAACCGAAAAAACGGAGAACTCAATCTCCAATTGACTAGAACTCTTTCCTAGCCTACTCATCTACAACGTCCGAAGCATACTGGACTACAATCGAAGATCAAACTTCGCAAATGCGATAAACACAAGCTGTCAATACCAACTACTTTGCCTAACCGAAACATGGTTAACCAACGACGTAACAGACAACTCCATATTCTTGCCTCAATTTGAACTCTATCGATCTGAAAGAACTTCAAAAGCCGGTCTATCAAAACACGGAGGAGTTCTAATTGGCATCAACGCAAACATACCACATAACCGCATTGATACAGGCATGCATGCAAGACTGCGTAATGGTTCAACTCAAGGTATCTGTACCAATACTTGTCTGCTGTATATATTGTGCCCCTGTGTATAGCCCATACCGTTGGTCACTAGATCAACTTAACTCATTGCTGAACTTAATAAAAGCAACACAACGCGAGCAAGGCATACAAAATCTTGTCATTGTTAGAGATATCAACTTCTCGTGTACACATTGGAAATCACTCTCATCAAAATGCGAGTACGAACAAAGCATCCTAGACAACTTCCAGGAATTAAACCTGGAACAATTCATCATAACCGATACTGGAAAAAGCCTGGATATCCTGCTCTGCAACAATCCTGATATCATACTAGACGTATACATGGACAATCGGCTCAAAAACGACTTCACCTCAGATCACCCACCTTACGGCTCAAAGTTACATATGAATCACAAAATAAATCACGAAAGGGTCCCTCTTCCCTCCTAAAAAAACGACTTTTCAGGCTTTGCCTTCAAAAAAGCCAACTGGAACGAAATCAACGAATATGTGCGAGAGCACCACTTCAACCCATACTGCTACAGCAACGTTGATCTCCAGGTAGATCAGTGGTATAATTGGATCTACGGTATTATAGTCAAACACATACCCCGAACAACCCAACATAGGAAACATCTAGCGCCCTGGGTTTCTCCCACGAGCTCAAACCTCATGAAAAAAGTAGAAACTCTCAGACGCCAAAGTAAAACAAATACTCTAAAGATCCAGCAATTACAAACTGAATTGTCCTTATCGCTCTCAGCTGACCAATGCAATCATTAAACAGAAATTTTCAAGTCTGGAATCTTCTCAAACGTCCAAAAATACCTCAAAACTATCATGAAAACAAGCTCAATCCCAACTGAAGTATTTCTTGACGATAAGTCAGCTAATACCGATATCGAAAAAGCCGAATTATTTAATATGTACTTCCAATCCGTTTTCAGTAAGAATCACCACGATACTCTCACAGAGGGACGGCCCACGCTGTCGATGATTCACTTCTCAGAACTAGAAATACAACTCGTTCTCCAATCGCTGGACGAGAGCAAGGCCAAAGGACTTGACCGTATGGGGAACAACTTGCTGAAAAAATTATCAGACTCCCTACCAAAGTCACTGCATCTCATATTCAACACAATTGCAAACAAATGCTACTTCCCATCATTCTGGAAAACAAGCGAAATAATCCCCATATTTAAAGAAGGGAACAAACAAATGGTAGATAATTACAGGCCGATCAGCCTCCTCGTAGCAGTATCCAAAGTCCTCGAGAAACTTATTTTCGACAGAATGTACCCAATCTTATCCACCGCATTGTCCCAATCTCAACACGGTTTTCGGCAAAGACGCTCATCTATAACAAACCTTATCGAATACCTGCACGAAATGTTTGTGAACTTTGACAATAGCAACTGCCACTTCCTAGCGTCATTTTACCTCGACTTCCAGAAGGCTTTCGACAAAGTCAATCACAATATAACGATCGAAAAACTCAGCAGAGCTGGAATAACAGGCCCAATATTGGATCTAATCAAAAGTTGCCTGACCGGTCGAACCCAAACAGTACGCATCGGCAGCTCGGTCTCAAGCCAACTGCCAACTTATAGTGGAGTTCCGCAAGGATCTATTCTAGTACCACTCCTCTTCTTAGTATACATCAACGACTTGCCAAAACGTGTCATGTCATCGTGCTACGGCTATGCGGATGACTATAAAATTATGGGCACCGACCCGACTACCCTGCCCATAGATATTAGAAAAGTCTGGAAGTGGTGTGAAACCAATGAAATGCGCCTCAATATGACCAAGAGCAGAACACTAGTAATTAAGGGCGAGTGCAACCTAAGCATATTCTCGTACAAATTTGAACAGCCTAACGAACTTAAAGATCGTGGAATGATAATGTCAAAAAATCTTAACTGGACTTCTCATTGTGCCAGTCGGTCATATTTGGAAGTTTGACCTTGAGAGAAGCAAAAAACACTTAATTTTGGGGTGAAATTTAATTTTTCAAAAATTCGAATGGAGCCTGTCATGCACGATTTTCTCGCATTAACTGAAAGTCAAAAAAGAGAAGTCAGAACAATCGAGTGACAATCGCGGGAAAATTGCAAGATAAATCAGTAGGAAATTGCTATTCGCAATTTCCGTCACAGTAATAATCTAGAGTAGAGCTGTCCCATTCGAAACAGAAAGAAGCGTATTCCCACGAACTGGATTATTGTGACTTGACTGGAGTATTATTCTAAACTGGACTAGAGTGAACCTTCGGTGGAAAGGTGGACAGCTTGAGTGTCCCAATGGTTCACGAGAAACTATAGTCTAGAGTAAAAACTTGTTCTTGTTGTTAAAACTGACAAACATTAAACTCATTTTAGTTACATTATTTAATTCTCGAGTTAATTACCGACTGAAGTACTTCCCTTTCTTGAGCGTGCTACAATGTGAGTACTAATTTAAATTTCTAGAGTGTGCTTTATAATTGTTATGTTGAGGTAAGGCGAGTTTTAGGTTGATCCATCTGAAATGGATCAAAGTTCCACTGTCTAATAAAAAATAACTTAACGGATTGTTCCAACCCGGTTTTTAACGGCGTTCATGTATTTTGGGTATCTAGAGACCTAAGTATGAGGACGTTCTTAATTCTAGAGTGGGAGGATATTTTAGTAGTAGCCTTTAGGCTGTAACGGGTCGTAGTCCCATGTCACAAACGAACCGAATTGGCTCCGACTGATTTGAGGTACAAAAACACAAGAGATAGTGGCCCTGACTCTTGAGCCAATAGTTATAGGGCCTATTTTTCTTAAGCCTCATGTGTGACTGCAGTAGACGAATGTTACATAGTGTTTTTATGGCGCTCCTGGGTGTTTACGACATCAAGACTACGGAGTCGAACCCACTTGAGACAGCTTCGGGCTGAATGCCCATTCTAGAGTA